CTTCGAAGGTCGTATCCTCCCCGTGTCAAGCAACTCCGTCAATTGCTTTTGAAGTTCTTCCAGCTCTGGCGGTGCCATCCGATAGGGTGCCATGGATGGTGGTTTGGCACCCGGTTCCAACTCAATCTTATGATCCACCTCCCTCCTAGGTGGTAATTTCTTGGGTAACTCCGGCGGCATCACGTCCTTATTTTCTTCAAGGACATTCTTGATGACTTCGGGCACATTATCGTCACCCACAACTTCCTCAACTTGGTCCTCCATTTTTAATGCTGCCAAATACGTCGCCTCTCCTTTCTTTAGCCCTTTTGCTAGTTGCATGGCCGAAAGTTGTCCTATTGCTTTCGTCCTAGCTACCGTAGGAACCATGCATGGAGAACCCCTCTCCAAGATGCAAATCGAGTTAAAGGAAGGCATAGGAATAGCATTGACCTTCCTCATGAAGTCTAACCCGAGAACCAAGCGAAAATCATCCATTGTAGCCACCGAAAAATCCACTTGGCCATGCCAAGTGCCTAATTGAATTTCCACTCCTCGAACTATGCCACCAAAGGGCGTGGATGGAGAATTCACAACTTTCATAAGACCACCGCTTTTAGTGATTGTGAGGCCCAACCTTCTAGCCTCATCTTTAGTAATGAAGTTGTTGGTAGCTCCCGTATCCACCATTGCTAGTGCGGGCCGACTATTTACTTGAGCTTCCACATACATTAATCCTCGTTCATTATTGGAAGCCGGAATGACCTTAGCATTGAGAGCGTTAAGAAGTTGCAATGAACTAAAATGTTCCGCCCTTTGATCTTGGCAAGAGGATGAATCCCGTTCCGTCGCCATAGCCGCCAATGTGCCAAGTTTAGGGCAATCACGCATTAAATGTGGCCCCTTGCACACGAAGCATCCACTTTGAGAACCCGTCGAGGCCTTCTTTTCCTCATAATTTTTTCGCGAGAGGGAAGCTTTGTAAGTGTTATCACTTTTGAAGAATGATGACTTATGGTAATCTTTCTTCTCTCCCCCGCCTTTAGCCGAGTTACTCTTAAAGCTTTTAGAAGATTTTGATGAATCCGTGCTCCTTTGGAACTCGGTTAAAGATTCGGCCACCACAATAGCCTCGTCTACTGTCTTCACTCCCCGACGTTGAAGTTCTTGCTTTGCCCAATTTTGCAATCCGTCGGTAAAGTGAAACAATAGATCTTCATCTGACATGCTCGGGATTTGAAGCACAAGGGTAGTAAACTCTTTGACATAATCGCGAATAGTGCCCTTATGTTTCAACTCCCTAAGCTTTTTCCGGGCCTCATATACTACATTTTCAGGATAAAATTGGCGTTTCATTTCTTTCTTAAAATCATCCCAACTATCTATCCTACAAGCACCCTTTTCTATGTCGGCGTGCTTACGTCGCCACCATAGAGTCGCGGTGTCCGTAAGATACATAGTCGAAGTACGTACCTTAATAGCTTCATCCAAAATGTTCACGCCCTCAAAATATATTTCCAATCGCCATAGGAAATCATCTAGCTCTTTTGCATCTCGCTTTCCATCGAGCTCCCTAGGCTTTGGATAGTCGATCCTTGGAGCCACTAGAATCGTGCTAGTACCCGCACTAGTTGACGCCTTCTTACAAGCGTCTATGCCACTTTGCATATCCGCGCAAAGCTTGTTCACTTGGTCTTGGATCGCTTTGACAGCATCCATGACCTTACCCTCCAACCTCGTATATTCTTCCCTTAAAGCGCCTTGGTCTTCCTTGAGATCATCAAGTTGTTCCAAGGTGTGAGCTTCAAGGGTTGAGAGTGATTCTCCACTACTTCAATGCGTTCCCCCATATTGAGAAATACTTCCTCAAGAGATCCACCGGTAGGGGCTGGTGGTCGGCTCTTGCTTCGGGTTTGTCGAGTTTTCTTACTCGTGGTTTGGGGTTCGACCTCTCGACCCCGCTCGTCATGTTCTACTTCCGAAATGCCGGATCCCACAACATCTTTTTCCGCCATGTCAACGATAGTAAGTGAGCAAACCTGGCTCTGATACCAACTGTCACGGACTTGCTAATTTCCTCCAAGAACCGTGCGGCCTTAGTGTCTTCAACTTCCGCCCCCGCGGTTATTACACTAAGTCAGCCTCCCGATTGGCGTTGATGTCTTAGAAAGGCACTAAGTAGAACACTTTAAGAAAGGGACAATGAAGGAACACAAGAACTTACAAAGAAGGCTTTGTATTGAATAAGGATACTCTTTACAACTTCACTCTCTTAATGCCTTCAAATGAATCCTACCAAGCTATTTATAGTAGTAGCCTCCTCAAATGGATGGGTAGGATCTTTTCTATCCAATGGTCTAGATTACACATCTAGAATTATCTGTACAAATATTTACATTAAAATATTTATGGACTAAACTAGGATGATCTAGAATAATCCACCAAGTGAGGAGCTTGTAGACTTCTAGAATGTCCCATCATATTCTAGCAATCTTCATGCACTTGTGGGAGTCTAGAATATTCCGGTTAGCCTCAAGTCGTCAACATTTTAAATTTATCGATCTTCTTGTGCCAAAATCGAGCGAGTCGTGACAATAAGCCCTATTGATGTAAAATAACATGGCATGCATCTATCTTGTAATTAGCGAACTTCTGCTTTCAAATTTCAACTGTGCTCTTAGCCAGCCAGAATAATAATATANCTAGAATATTCCGGTTAGCCTCAAGTCGTCAACATTTTAAATTTCTCGATCTTCTTGTGCCAAAATCGAGCGAGTCGTGACAATAAGCCCTATTGATGTAAAATATCATGGCATGCATCTATCTTGTAATTAGCGAACTTCTGCTTTCAAATTTCAACTGTGCTCTTAGCCAGCCAGAATAATAATATATTTTGTTTTTAAGGATGCATAGTCTATCAATATTCAATTAGAAGATGCAAGTGAACAACTCTTCCATGTTAAGATGTTTATTCATGTGAAATGGCTTATGTTTTTAGGTTAACAAATACTAATTATTGTTTGAGCAGAATAAAAGTACCGGGGAGCTCAGCTTTTTGACCTCGTTAATGAATTTTGCAGGTTCCATGGGTAAGTTTGTACTGACTATCGCATCAGTATAGGCAGATTCTATAGATTCAATATATGTCTTGGTGCTGACTTTTTTGTTTCTTGGCAGTGAGAGTTTTTACCAGCATGCAGGAAAAGGCCCCAATGAGTGGTAACAGTACCTCTTTCTGAAGTGTCATCTTAAGCATCAAAATACAGAAACATAAATAGCATATTTCGTAGGGAGGAGTCGATTGCCTTCTTCTTTAGTATTTTCTCAATCTTAACAAATTTTTTACAATAAAATGCCATAAGCACCTTCCCGCTTTCATATTAAAATTTTCATGCATTTGACATTGATTATGAGATGATAAGTAGCCTACACTTTTGTATTGTTAAGTATTTCAAACGAGAATCCTGAAAACTTCAGTCCTATATACTCTTGCATTTTTTGTACGAGTCATCACCTATGCAAAGTAGAACAGACCTGCTAAACATGAAGAAAGACCTAACAAAGTGGACATAGAACCTAAGCGTATGAAATTAATGCAAGCAATTAGGGTCTTCATTTAAAACAACAACAAAAAACTCAACTTTGTTCCCAATAAATGATTGGATTACATGGATCCTTTTTTCTATCCCTCCGGTTAGTTCATTGTTAGATCTATTGGGACGTCTAAATCAGTCAGATCCTTCACCACAACAAACTGTGCTTGTTTTGGTGTCTACCTTCTCTAGTGGTATGTGCTCTAGAAAGGATCTGAGGAAATAGAACTGAAGACTTCAGAATTGCATAAATGACTCGTGAATACTTTATCTAGGGGTAACTCCTAATCTATTTTCTTGTATTGCAATGAAAGTTTTCGATTGTTTTATTGATAATCATTTATATTTGCCTCTAATAATTAAAATGCTTTCATTTGCTGCTATCCTTCATCTTAGGACTACGTAATTTACTTGATTTTTATTTTTGTAGTCATTCTGGGCTCTGTGATTGGAATCATGACAAATGGTACAATCTTAAGTCAAATAATCTTATACCGAAAGCCACCTGGAAAGAAAGAAAAGAAAGCAGACTAAAGAACTGAGATTAAGTCCTTGGAAATTTTGATAAATTTCGAAGTCAAGTTCGTTTGCAGGGTTTTACTGGTGCGAGGAGGCAAATAACATCTTAATCCAGATCAAGATTGTAGCCACATGATTTGGCATCCTCCACTGGTTAAAACCAATTGTTTCTTTCGCAGTCGAAAATCAGTTCTTTATTCACAGGTTTTAGATACTTTTTACTTAAGCATACATTATTAATTTATTGTTGAGAGATTCTTTACACCAAAGATGCTGATTTCTAGATGTAAGAAATATGTTTCTCATACAGTATAATGATTTTCTATTACGTTGTGGTATGAAGAATAAAATGTTATGGAATCATGTATCATTCAGAAAACTCTGTGGATATTGAAATAAAAAGTTGTTACAAATTCTATAATCCCTGTCAACTGGTCATGATGCTTCCTCCTCTGAAATCAGTTTTCACAGGATGCTGTGATGTCACAATCATATTCTACTTGTGGCTGGCTTTTGAGCAGGAAAAGAAAGAGGATCCGTCTTTCCATGTCAACCTATTCTGCCGAGTAGGATTATTGAAGGCATCCTAAACCTTTGATGAACAGGTTCTGAGTTTCCCAGGGACTCTTAATGTGATTACGCAAGTTATTATAAATTTTTTTCTTGAACATATAAAAAAAGTTAAAAAAATAAATTGCTTTCTATAAACACTTAGTGGGTTTTCTTTTAGGGAAATATATGGAAATAACCTTTTCAAAAGGGTTACTTTTCCAAAATGACCCTTGGGCAATTTGCATACCAAAAATGCCTTCCATTTGGATATTACATAACAAGGCATCATAATATAGACATTTTCTATTTTAGTTCTCAAAATTAAATGTTTGTTGAAATTTGATAATTTTTATTTGATTTATTTGATTAATATTTTTATTTGATTTAATTGATTTTTGTTCGCTCTAAGTAGCCCCCCTAATTGGTATCAGAGTCATAAAGATTATGGAAATTAAAATAAGAAAAATAGATAATTATTGGTGTTTAAAAGAAGAAAAAGGTAGTTATATATTTTTAAAACTTATTCATAATAAATTAAAAATAATGACTTTGACAATAATTAAAGAACTTCCTAAAGAAATAAAGGAATAAATATTAGAAAAAATAATAATAGAAAAAATAAAAGATATTTATTTATATGAAAAAATTATTAATATATATGAAGATGAAGAAAATAATTTGTATTATAAAGAAAAATAAGAGTATAACTGATAATATACATCAAAAATTAAATAAATTACTTTTAAAAATGGATAAAATACAAGAAATAAGAAATATAATGTTTGTACCAAAAGGAATGAGAATATCAAAGAATAGACAATTAACAAAATTAAAATATGAAAGATTAAGACTTGAGAGCAAATATTTCACTATAGTAAAAAAAGAATTAGTAGATCCAGAAACAACAGAGAGAAGATTTAGAAAAATAATAGATAAAGATGTAAATTAACTTATGAGTTAGAAATAAGAAAAAATTAAGATGTCAATAAGTGAATATATGGAAGAATTAAAATCATTAATAAAAATGTTAATAATGATGTACAAAATTTGAGAAATGAAGTAAAAGAAACAAGAAATGATATAAATATATTAAAAATTGAGATTAGAGAATTAAAAGAAAATAATAAGAATAAAGATACGAAAATAGATAAAAAAAAATTATAGAAAAAGAAATGACTCGAATAGGAAAGAAATATATAAAAAAAAAGAAATATAGTAATAGAAACAGGAAGCATAGATGATGAATTCAGAAAAAATATATTACCAAAGATATTAGAAGAAGAAGAATTTAGAGAAAAATCATTAGGAAAATTAAAAATAGAAGAAAAAGAAGATAAAAATGAATGAAGAGTTAGATTTATTAATAGAAAATTTTGATCAATTAAGTTTAACTGATATAAGTGAATACCAAGTTTTAATGAATACTGGAGGAGGACCTAATCCAGCAGGAATCTCTAAACAAGAATTACGTGATATAGATGAAAGTTATGCACTTATATATAATAAATCATATAAATAATTTTGTGATAAAATAAGAAATAGACAACCACCTAAAGGAAATAAATATAAAGATACGTTTGAATTAAATGATAATTATAATAAATCAATTAATCATGGAGGAACAAAACTAGATTTAAATTGTAAAATAGATACTAAAAAAGCTTTATTAATTTGGGCAGACTCGATAATATTATTCTTTTTATATAATAAAGATGACACATGAGAAAGTACTGAAAGAAGAATAGATTTCTTAATAGCATTCTTTGAAGGAGATGTTAGAAATTGGTAGGAAAGAATAAGTAATGATACAAAAACATTAATAAAAAGAAATGTACAAACAGAAATAATCAAATCAGATAGACAAGGTATAAAAAAATTAGTGGAATATATTTTTGATGAATTTTTAGGAGAAAATTGGATAAGAAATGCTGAAAGAGAAGAAATAAGAGAAAAAGATAATGTTAGGATTAAATTAATAAATTTAACAATATGTGATATGTGTAAAATTAAAGAATATACTTGTGAATTTAGAAACTATTATTATGTTCAATATTATAGTAATGAAAATCAAGAAGTATACTAAGATATGTACTATAATAAATTAACAGGTTCTGGGGGAATATATTTTAAAATAGAATTTGAAAAATATCTTAGAAATAATACTGGAATACCTAGAACTTTAGGTTCAAGAATGAAATTTTTATTTGAAAGACTTGCATATATATGTCGACAAAGACAATTAATTAAAAAATCAGGGAAATTAACTAGAATATGTTGTGAAAATATGGAAACATCTGTGCAACGGGGATGTAATTCTGAAAGAAGAATTAATAAAAGAAAATATAAAAATAAAAAGTTTAAAAATTTTAGAAATTTT